TCTACATTCTTGTTTTCGTGCGTAGGACAACCTCCTGTTAATCATTCTTTCTCATCACGTCTAGAATTAGCTAAAATCAAGTACGCTTGATAAACGACCAAAGTTAGTTTCTCTCGGAAACGAAGCATCTTTCTTCTTACTTGATTGTTTAAAAAAAAAAATATGGAAAATTCTATTCACTTGTTTCCAAGTCATCATCTGCTTATAAGTATTATTCCGAAGAGGAGAATCAATGTTAACACACGTTACATAAATATTCCAGTTATATATAAATTATTTATCACCCGACAAAGGGATAGACGGAGTTCTACCGTAACTTTGTAAACCGATTTTCCCCAATGTTTATCGTATCAATGACCAAATCGGCGTTTAAACGGTTGAACTACAGGGCAAATCTTTTTTTTCTTTTTTTCCATGGCCGCAATTTCACCGGCAAACAGACTGGACGACGACGATCGGACTCGGTCGTGCACTGGCGCAACGAATGCAATCGTTTATCGTGCAATCGGTAGCATCGTGTTTACATCCAATCAAGTTAATTTCTGGTCACGCAGATCGCGGGATTTTGCCGTGTTATTACCGATGCGCGAGTCGTGCATCGATGACTCCGTTAACCGATGCTTTCCCTTTGACCGATTAAAGCGACTGCAACTGCACCGGCCCTGATCGTTTTCTGCTCCCATTCGATCGGTGCCGGGTCACAGATGCCCGCCTCGCGGAGCGCATCTCGCGTTCTACATTGCGTGTTACAACGCTCGAGAGCCCAGATGGCCCGAGAGCTTTTCCATTATTGAAGATTATCACGGACATTCCTGCTCCGATGCGCGATAATTGTATTCGAGTGTCGTAACCTGCTGATCTAACTGGGGGATGATTTTAACGCTTAAAACGGGATTAACGGAGGCAGGAGGGGTGGGGGAAGCGAGATTACACGGACAGAGAGTGCAGGTGTTAACGCGTTAAATCTGCTGTTTTGAATATTTTAATAGACAGTCAAAGATACGAGAAATATAAAAAGATATATGATGGAAATGTAGAAAATTTTAAGATAATTCCTCGATGTAGTTGTGTTTTTAGCCTTCTAAATCTATCTCGAATAAAACGTATCAGTGTATGTACATTTATCTGTTTTATTGTAATTTCAACGACTGACAAAATCAGATCAACGGAATTAAATGTTTCATCGCTGTGTTCGTTAAATAGGAAAGATATTTGGCAATGGTGTTGTTAGAGGATAAAAATTCATATAGGCTACAACTGATATAGAGTTATCATTCTATTTATAATTTTTGGGGATCGAATAATAGTATATAGTATGTACTCTACTAACAAAAATTTCTGTGAATTTTCTACAGAGTTTTATGAATACCGAAGATACAACGAGCAACATCGTAATATCTCATAATATCAAAAACAATTAAAAAAGAAACAGACAATTTCGATACCTCGTATTAAATTTTAACATTACGTAATATTAATGTATCATAATATTGAAATAAAGTTAATATTAAATTCAAATAAAATTAAATAAAAACTATTCTTCCCTTGTAGCTTCCTAACAAAATCAATCGTACAAATTCCAAAATGTACATATATATATATAT